GCACAAATGAGGATGTACTAGTCCCCGTCGCGTTACAGACTCCAAACAAACAGAGGTCCGATATGACTGAACCGGAAGGGTGATCACGAGGAGTACCGAAGAAGACATTCAAACGAAGAGTGAGAGGAGACCAAGAAGCAGAATGATGCCTGTTTCATTTGCATATCCAGCTACACAGAGCTTAAAGGTCTCCTACACCGCCATGTTTAAGTAGATTTCTCAGTCGTATAAGAAACTGATATGTAAGGCTCCTTGTTTCACTCAAGGTTCCACTTTCACGAAAAAAAAAATAAGGAAACGATCGAGAATAAATGCACAGATTAATTTATTAATTAAAGGCTTGTAAATGAGCCCAAAATTTGCAATTCGAACTAAAAGGAGGCAGAGCAGTGCTTATTCTTGATGTGAATCCAACCGCCAGGCTTGAAATACATTCAAAAAAGCAAATTAACCTCGAATAGTCGGTTTCGCAGTCTCATTCAGAGACACAAGGCTCGGCACCGGTGTTGTAGAATTGTCAACAGCATAGTCATCGATGAAGACGAAATTGATGGCGTAGGGTGACCTGCCCCTACTCGATTCGGTGAGATTGAAACTGCGGTAAAAATTTTCCATATCGCAATCGTCAACGTTGGAAATTATGTCGACTGCTCTCCCAAAAAGGAAGTCATCAATCACCTAGGTGATGAAAAAAAAGGGGACCCTGTTTACGATTCTGGAGAGGACGATATCGCGATTGAACGCACCAACCTTTATAACCTTGCAAAGAACGGGGTCACTTTCTTGCAAAAAAAGAACAGAACTAAGTTGATCAGTGGCAAAGTGACTAATAAGGAGGTGGAATAAACGACCTCATCTCACGTGTATTTGGAGAAATAAAAAACGATAAACGTATCGCAAAAGTTTACCCGTCTTCTGTTCTGCAATTTAGTCGCCAAGACAACGGGTCAATAAATCAGCATTTACAAGGGCAATCTGGGAGTTGCATTGATGGCAATACTGTGACGCACGATAAAGTCCATACCCATTACAAAGGAAATACCAGCATTCGGTCAGTGGCACAACTATATGAAATTGGTTGCGTTTAGTACCGTATGATTAGTGGAATCGGAAAATCCAACAATCACTTTTACCAAACAGATTCTAAA